TGAAGCCAAAAGCACCAAATACAAAACCGACTGCCTTGCGACAGACTCCGCCACGTCCCACAATAGGCGCCACCATACCCTAGTTTGCAAATTTATGCTGCCAGAGTCGCCACCGTCAGAATTATATTTAATATTTTCCCCCACATCGCACGAACGGCATGATGATGACATCGTCCATTAAATTAGAAGTAGAATTTAGCCTATCTGCAAGTAAAGGGTAATGTTGCTTCTGTGCACCAAACCATGAAGATGTAACCTCGACAGCAGATGTAGGTGGTCAACTTAATTTTAAAGCCGCTTTACTCCCGGGAAAGCTTCCGACCCCTGAAACCCACTGGACAGGAGACCCGGGTAGACCCCACAGCCGGTCTAGCAGCGGGAAAGAGAAGAAAAAACTCTTACCCTGTCGAGGAACGAACCCTGGTTGCCCAACCCGTAGCCTAGTCATTACACCGAGCCATCCCGAAGAATTGAAATAGCTTCAAGAACCGACAAGGTAAAATGACGCAGGCAGAACAGGGCGATCGATAGGTCGATCGATACTGTGAATAAAAAGAGACGCAAAGTGGATAAAAATATGACGATGGTAGGATTTCCCTTGCTTCTACGAACACCACTTTCCCCACTGCACGTGAACAGGGGCTGTAAAGAAATACGTCATTGCCACTCGCCACACACACGCAGTTACAATCGTGCGTAAGGACAAAATGACGAGGAATTCTATCGATCTATGTGGGATTCTATGAAGGTAAAACCAACTCTGCCACGGTGGTCTAGCGGTTAGAACGCTGGCCTTGTAATCCTGGGGTCTCGGGTTCGATTCCCGGCGGTGCCCGAATTTATAACTTGTGTTGGGCAAGGCCGTGGTCTAGGCAACACGGAGTTTTCCTACGGGGGCTTCCCCGGTTTCTCCGTGGCATCCCAACAATTACCCCATTCACACACAGAAGAAGGCAATGGCAAACCACTTCTGGATCATCTGCCAAGAACGTATATGAACAGGTCCCAGTCCGAGAAAAGGATGGAAGGATCCTGTTCATATGGACCTGTCGTCAGACAGAACACTAAATAATAATAATAATAAAACCAACTCTGTTGGTCTAATAATTCTCTACCTTCTATGGAACCACAAGATTCACTGACGTGTTTTCAAGAACCCTCCCCAAACTCACACACTACTTTCTTTGAGACAAATTTTAATATTATCCCATCATCTACTTCCAGACCCTCAAATGGTCGATTCACTTCAGATTTTAAACTAAAATCCTGTACGCAGTTCTCATTTCCGCCTTGTGTGCTACATATTCTGATCCCTAAACATATTTGATAAAGAGTACAAATTGCGAACATTCTCTGAACTGTTGCTTCTCCTATAACTCTCCTCATCACAATGTTTAAAACACCCTCAACGTACGAATTTTCGACAAGGCACGAGGCTGTGTGAGCTGGCAAAATGTGGGAGGGGTAAACACGGAAGTTCAGGTTATCAATACCATACAAAAGTTTACGTGTTATGTACTTGGTGATACTACGCAGGTGTTTTCTTTAAAATATTTCCTTGAGCGGTTGTGTACGGTAAATAATTGTATGCTACTTCCAACAATACAGCACATATGGCGAGTGGGTTCCTTAAAATACCAAGTGACGTCGAATTACAGGGCCACAAAGCTGGATCGTGGACCGCTACCCTCATGAACCAACCGATCACGTACAGCAAGGGTCCCGAGGTCACATTCGTACTGACTCTCGGGTCGCTCTGTTATAAATGAATGCAAATTAAGCCAACTTAAACGTAATGACCCGTTTTTTAAAGTGCTAGTAACTATCTTCCTATCACAAACAGGATCGTATACTATTCAAAATAATTTTTAAACTAGATTCATTTCAACTACAGACTTGAAGAAAAAAAAGTCTGAATTTCGGTGGTAATTGTTTGAAATTAGTTTTGTATCTGGCGATATTGCTAATTTCAATATGTGAAAGTGCATCTGATGTATAACGTCGAGGTCAGTGGCTGGAGTGAATAATCAACAAAGGCTCTCTCTCTACCCCTGCTGATGCTGACACAAAGACGCAGGACGAAGAAGGCTTCACCTCGTTTGACGCAACTGAACCGAATCACGCTCTGATTAGAGGCGTAAAGTACACGTCTACACAAAGGAAAACTGCTTCGCACAACCACAATGTTCCAGTGTTTGTGTTGTCATAAAGGGAGCCTTGAATTCTATACGAACTTGCACAATCAGAAAAGAATTTATTCGATTACATCTATGACTGTCATTGTATGCATTGTTCTACGTATCATACTTCAACTTCAGATTTTTGTCATGACTTCTGGTTGGTAAAGTGGTGGTGGTTTTTTTATTATTATTATTATTTAGTGTTCTGTCTGACGACAGGTCCATATGAACAGGATCCTTCCATCCTTTTCTCGGACTGGGACCTGTTCATATACGTTCTTGGCAGATGATCCAGAAGTGGGTTGCCATTGCCTTCTTCTGTGTGTGAATGGAGTAATTGTTAGGATGCCACGGAGATACCGGGGAAGCCCCCGGAGGAAAACTCCGTGTTGCCTAGACCACGGCCTTGCCCAACACAAGTTATAAATTCGGGCACCGCCGGGAATCGAACCCGGGACCCCAGGATTACAAGGCCAGCGTTCTAACCGCTAGACCACCGTGGCTTTGGTAAAGTATATAAAACACAAAAGAAACCGTGGCCAGATTCATTTCCGTGAAACAACATGCCATGAGATCACACAGGATAACAAAATACAATCTGAAATAACAATCAAACCTTTACATAGGTACTGTCGGCGAACCACGAGAAGATATTATGAAAATATAGCAAGTTTTTGCGCTAACAACGAGCTAAAAAACTCCATTGTTGCAGACTTCAGACTCCTTTAAACCAATGAAATCAAAAACAATGAAAGAACAACAATTCACTACATAAATGAGTAATAAAGAAATATAAACTCTGAAGAGATGTCGAGCATTCTTGGAATGATGCGAATAAAACGGACACAGTCGTGCCTGCCCAGTTGCATGTCGTACATACCAAAGTTAAATGAAAATCGGGCAGTTTGTTAAAACGTCTTAAGTGAGGTCAAACCTACAGACACGATTCCCTACGCCCATCTTTCCTTATAAAGCAAGGAAAGTGATCTAAATACTGCTTGTTCAATGGAGTCATTATTGTAACGCTAAATTAACAACACAGGAAAGTCAACATTGAAACAAGAACAAAACACGCTCCACAACGGTACCTAATATCACGGTGGAGTGGTTAGCAACTGCTTCGTGTTCGGACGGTCTCGGGTTCAAATCTCTGACCGGAGCCCAACTAACCTAAGATTTCTGGTGATTTTCTTTCAATTCATCCGGGCAATTCCCGAGTTAGTGCCTTAACAACCTCTTCCTTCCACATCCTTTCCAATTTATCTTTCACAAACCCAACCAAATATCCGATGTTACATGACCAAGACAGATGAAACGTCGAATGAAATAGCAACTTCTTGCATGCCAAACGTCACAATGTGTCGCACTGCATTAATGATAGCATGGGGTATGCGCGCCTCATTTTGAAAACGCTTCAATACTACAAATGGGCTCGAGGAAGGACATTTTCGTTACTTACGGGCAAATGGTGCACATGCGTAGTCAAACACGATTGTGAAACGCATTAGAGACGCGTAAGACACGTTATTGAACTTTACCTCCATTCTATGGCTACATTTCACTCCCAATCAATAACCAGAGAGCTGACGTGACGAAAGGCAAAGTTAAGTTGGTCACAGTGACAGCAATGCACTCCATGGCCTCCCTTATTTCTCCTGAACACCCCACGCCCCAGCCTTACCAACGGGGGGGAAAAGACCCCAGTACCCCACCGGTTAGGAGATTGGATGGGCTCCAGAACCGGTCAAAACATGGAAACTTAGAGAAAATAATGCCTTTCTCACCAGTTAAGGGAACATAACAAGACAAAAGAAATCTTGTATTTACAAGAAGATTGGGCTGACCCACGAAAAATAAAACTCATGGTCTTGGACATAACAGCACAGCATGTCATTCACAGCGGGGGCTTGTAACTGTTCTGATCAGGAACTCCATGCATTATTGCGTCTCATTCATGTATCTGCCGGAAGCATAATATGTCCTTGAACTTACAATTCACTTACATTACCATTCAACCATCCTATCTGCAGTAACAAATCGATTTTATAATTCACTACCCTGTGGCCACACGAAAATTCAAACGACGAAACTGAATACATCCCTGAATTTTTTATTTGTCTGCTCTGAAATAATTTTCATTCTATTGTTACGGTTTGGAAAATAAAAACACGCACACAAGACAGCTTGCAGTGGTTCGATGCATCTAAACTGACCACAATGTCTAGTTCGTCTACTGTCCCGACTATGCTATACGTCATTGCAGTACAATACCGGCGTGGAATGTGGTTTCAGTAGTTCACAGAGTCGAATGACAGGATGATTAATGGATAATGAATTGGAAAAAATGTGGAAAGAAGTGGTTGTAGCATAATTTAATGTATTATCCATTGTCGAAAACCTGTCAGGGTAGTCGGTTTCCAAGCCGAAATTTGAACCCGTTCACCGAATGACAATGTCGTTGATGGTCCTTTATGACGTGAGACTGAATAGCCAGGATTCCCACATTAATTTCAGGTCAGTATTTTCATAAATTTCGGACTTGTCCTGGCAATAAATTAACGGTACTGACATCAATCATAGTAATTTTATATTTACAAAACCGTCATGTTATTTACTTGAATTAACTGCAAAATTACGGCATAACAATGTGATTGTACTCAACTGTTACGATTATTGATTAAAACACTGAAATCGGCAGAAGGTGCAATTTTACTCACGGCCAAATTCAAGTACCATGGGTACAAATGACGTAACACGTATCTATTGAAACACCAACTTCGTTTACATAGATTTAACGTTGATGGCATGTTTTTAACTTACCGGCAATTCGAAGAACAGCTCTGTCAGCAGGATCAAGTTGTAAAATGCTCAAAGGTTTATCTTTCGCCCATTCTTTCAAGCTTCCATCGAAATCAAACTCCATTGTGAACAGGAACGTTACACTTAGAACAATTTCCGTATTCTGTCAGCC